GAGGGGTTCAAGGCTCAAGGGAAGCAAGTTGACATAAAGTTGACTTTATGAAAATGGCATAGTTAGCTTTTTGCCAAAAATAGATTAAACCCTTATGTAAACTTCCGTTGATCAGAATAATGCCTTAAAACAATGATTTTGCATTCAATTTTTTAGTGTGGAAGGGTTTAGAGACCTGTGAGCAAGTACAAGTGAGGCTGGATAGAGTTTGCAATTTGTGTCAACATGAAACATGTCATGTATCAAAGTGAGTTTTTGCCAAATTCAAACCTTCGATTATCCCTAACCACAAATGATTTTGGAGAGTTCTTGGACATTTTGGAAAGCTTATAACATGATATACAATCCATATTTGAAATGAATTTTCAAAATTCCAAGTGGAACTAGGTGAAAAATGGCCATGAAGATAGGTCAAAATCCTGCCTAAACTAGGGCAAAATTTCACTAAGTTAAAAGTTTCATGGACCCTTGTTCCAAAAATCATAAATGAGATCCAAGCTTCTTTTGGGAAAACTTTGTGAATAAAAGTTGTATATTTTGTGGAGGACTACAACTTTCATGTTGTAATTTTTGTTTGAATCTAATTGCATCATGGTGAAAATGTTGGGCAAAGTTGGGAAAAAATAAGAAAATTTCATAACTTAGAAAAATTCTAAGTTGTGAAATTTTTCAATCTTAAACCCTAATTTGCAAAATTAGGTTTCTTGATGAACAAGTTTCATGTTTTGACACATCTTGATGAAAAATAACCCTTGGCACTTGATTTTGACCAAAAAGTCAAAGTTTGACTTTTCAGTGTACAGTCAATTTTTGATCAGTTGACTGGAAAATTCATTTGTCAATCCAATGCATTTGAGATCTTTTGAACCTTGTGAATAGGTAAAGATGATTCCATTGAGTCCTTGAATCCATAATTGAACCCAATTTGCCATTGGCTAGGTGAAAAATCAGAAATTGCCCTTATACAGTCAAAACCCTAAAAATGACCATTTTTCCCTTTTGGTGATCTGATCAAATTTCTTGAGGAGTTGTGGTCCAAACTTGATCAAATGGTTCATATGAGTCTATAATGTTGATGTGGATCAAAAATTATGGGGTTTTACTGTAAATTGGCCATAGTTGACTTTTTCCCCAATACAGCTGATTTCTAGGTCAACTGTCCAATTGACTGGGCAAAAATTTGATTCAAGGCTTGAAACTTGGTAGAGGCAATCTTATAAGTCCAGCATGAAGTATGAAAGTCACTTTGAGCATTGAAAGTCCAAAAATCCATGTGCAAACTCAAACCCTAATTTCAGGTCATCAGTGGAAGGAGATGTCTTGAGCAGAGCAAACCCTAGCTTGGTCTTGAGTTCAAAGAGTCTTGTGAGGGGAAATCTTGATAAAATAATAGGGAAAATTTTGGGGTACAACAATCCTCCATCGGGCAAGGCCAGCCCAACATTGTTGCGAGCAAGGCCCAACAAGGCCCATACAACTATGACCATTGGGGAACGCCTCCCACACGTGCCCGTTGAGGAAATCTTCTCCACGTGCCCTTCGAGGACATCCCCTCCACGTGCCCGCCAAGGGTGCCTGGCCAACATTCATTTGAATACCACGGAGTCATCCTGCTCCCAAAAAGAACGGATCTTCCACCGAAAATCACAGAGCAGTTGAACTAGGATAGAGACCATGAATTGGTCTCCTCTACCCATGTAGGATCGTGTCAGTCTTCATTATGGGCCTAGGCATCCAGCCCAAAATAGAGATCTTGGCCCAACGCTGGAAGCTATAAATACCCTCTTTCACTATAGGGTCAGGTATACTATTTTATTCATTCTAACTCCATACATCTACTCTCACTCTGAACTTTACTTTAGCATCTGAGTGTCTTGTAGGCACCCCCCCCCCCCCCCACTTCTCCTTCATCACAGTAGAAACCCAAGTATTACAGGCCACGGAGATCCTTCTGATCCTAGTAAGATCACCACTTAAGAATGATACTGATGGTATATGTTTACCTAATAATGAGAATGTTAACTGGGCATTATTTGTCTACTCACACTACATTCCAAGTTCCCATGCTAAATATATGTCCGGAAGGGGAGCATAAATTTTGATTTAAATGTTTTTGTAATTGATTGTAGAATTTCAAAATTCAAATTGGATGTGTCCTAAATAATAACAAAAAGTGATATTTTTGAATGTTTTATTAACCATGTTTTGAAAAAAAATACACAAATAACCATGTTTTGAAAAAAATACACAAATAACCATGTTTCAGAGAAAATTACGCAAATAACTATGTTTCAGAGAAAATTAGGCAAATAACCATGTTTCTAAAAAAAGTGAATTAAAGAGGAGGCGCCACTCAAGTGGCGCCTCCTATATATTTTGTAAACTTTTTCAGTTACCTGTGAATTTTCCTGAGATTTGACATTACCTGCAAACTTACCTGCGGATTTTCCTACGGAATCACCTGCGGGAATATAGTCCGCAGGTAAATCCACAAGTAAATTCGCCGGAAAAGTCAAATCTACAGGAAAATCCGCAGGTAAATAGAAAAATTGAAAGAAAAAAAATTAGGAGATGGCTAGGCGCCATCTCACTTGGCACCTCCTTTAAAAAAATCAATACATGCGTCATCTGGGAGGACTACTATATTATAGTATTTTCTAAAACATGATCATTTGCGTAAATTTCTCTAAAACATGATTATTTGTGTATTTTTTTTTAAAACATGGTTAATGCTAAAAAGAAATCGATATTTTAATTTAGAAATATATTAGCTGCAGATTTACATGTGGAATTTATTTCCCGCGGGGTTTTTTTGTAGATTTTATATCTTACAGGTGAATTTACCTGTAAGATATATTTCCTGCGAATTTACCTGCGAATTTATATTACATAAGTTATAGCTGGAAACAAAATCAATAGGGAAACATATTTTCCTCATCGAATCCACCGGTAATTCCGCTGGAAAATTGAGTATTTCTATATAAATAACTCTTATAATCTTTGTGCCTCCAACACCTTCACTTCGAATTCATTTATTTTTCTCCTTTACTTTATTGTTTTTCTTTCATCTTTAATCATTAGTTAGACTTAAAAAAGCTACTAATTTTTAATAGTTTTGAAGTGTGGACTCCTTAACCTTGGAGTTTTAAGTTATTTTAATTTTAATTTTTGTTTTTAGTTTTCTACAGCATTGTTTAGTTGTTTAAATTTGAAAGAAAAAAAAAATCAGTTTAATGTCAGTCAATTTCTTTATATTTATTTGTGTAATATGTTTTATTTTATATATAATTTATTTATGTTAACTGCTTTTTGTGGTTTCCGCTATTTGCTTACAACATTTCTTTAATATTTTTTATTTTAATTATTTGGTGATCCGTTATTTTCCACAATCCACTATAAATAACACTTTACATGATGAATTATTATGAAAATGAATGCTTGGATTGTTATTGGGCACAATTTTTATATTTATCCTTGTTTCACAAAAAGAGGAGAAGAGAGTAAAATACCTATATAATATATTAAATCTAATGCATCAGATATTATAGTAATACATTATCAATTATAATTCTAATATATTATTAAATATAATTTTAAAATTTGTCAGATTATCCTATAGTCTTATGTGGCACATCTCAAAACTCATTTTCATCTTATACTTCTATAAATTAGAGGTCACGGATTCGAACTCTCGCAAAGACCGAATAATATATAATTTTGACTAAATTGATCTAACAAACTAATTATTAATTCAACTATGTATATTCTCTTAAATTAAAAATATTCTCTCATATTAGAGATGTGGTAAATTCAAATACAATTAAATATTTTTTGTTTTCTTGAAATTATAGCAATAAAAGTAACAATTGAAATAAGAGAATTCAAACACAATAAAATATTTTTATCTTATTTTGGATAAAAATGGTCTAACAGATCAATCATTACTCCAACCATATATATTCTCTTATATTAAGAATATTTCTCTCAAATTTCAAAAATAAAAGAGATGTCAAAATCAAAACACAATAAAATATTTTTTGTTTTCCTGAAATTATAACAATAAAAATAACCCTTAAAATACATGTTTTTAATCTTAAAGTAGTTCTTAGACAATTTTCAAATATAAATCACTTTAATTTGATCTTAAAAAATAATATAGTACGCAACAATTTTATAAAATTCGATAAAATATCTAAATAAAAGATAAGTGAAAAAAAAACATGAGAATCAAAACAAAATAAATTTAAAAAAAACTACTTTAGAGATATGTAAGTTTGCAAACCTAAATTACGAATATCATTCTTAATTTACACGCATATATTTTTTTTCAAATAAAATATATATTTATTTATGTGATTAATTTATATTATTGTCTTTTATTATAATTCAAAAAAAAATTATAATATAAATTTAATAATCATATTTTCTCAAAGTCAACTCTTAATATATTTAAAATTTAAAAAAAATAAACAAAATAATTTAATAATTTAACAGTGAACATCGCGCGAATCTTAATCTAATTCATATAAAAATGAAGCAACATGAATGTTGTCTAGCAATGGATAACACATTTTACTTTATTCTTATGTTCCACAAATCCTTAAAACTAGAAAGTAAAATTTTGGGAAAATATCACAAGACATGAAGCTATCAGTATGATGGGTTGCTTTATTCGCTCTTTCATCTTCATGATCCTATTGGTATATCATGTGGGACCAAAACAGGATACACTTTTTCAAAAAGCTTGGATCATTTTTGTGTGAAAAATACTCTTTTGTTGTGCTTTACACAATGATTATGCATATCCGAGAGAATTTGTACAAGATTATTCTAATAGAAGGACATCAATCCCTCAACATTTTAGAATTTTAAACATTGACTTAAAATTACATGTCAAATAATTATTCTGTTGATGATTTTATTCTGTCTTTAAAGAGAACATGATATGAAAAAAACACTTCAAACTCTATTATCTCTGGAGCTAAATATCGTTAATAACTCTAATCTGAAATTTTGAAATGATGAATTTGGATATTCTCCACCTTGCGCTTGTTGAAATCACTACGGTTTCTATTAGCGTAGAATTTACCGATATTGTATGGTTTATATTTTGCAGGATTCTTGTCATTCACTAGCTCTTCTGCGGGTTTCGCCATAACATGGTGACTTGGATAAAAGAAAAACGGAATGGAAAACCTTTCTTTCTGTGTGTTTACCACCACCCTGTGTTCCACACTCTGATACTTGTCATTGCTCCAAACCTGCAAAAACACACAACAACACTTTATATCTATAAAGCACAGACACCATATACACGATACTATACTGATACTGACACAGATACACTTTTAAATCTTCACATTGAATAAACATACCTGAACAACGTCACCGACATTGATGATGAATGCACCGGGAGTGGGTTTAACAGGAATCCAATCACCATCTGATTTTCTCTTAACTTGTAAGCCTCCAATTTCATCTTGTGCAAGCACAGTCAATGCACCAGCATCAGTGTGACGACCAACGCCAAGTGCCAAATCAGGAAAAGGACACGGAGGATAGTGATTCAGCCTCAACAAGCTTAGTTGATTCTTGAAGCAGTCATGGAATTTGTCACTGGCTAAACCTAAGCTCAAAGAAATCAACTCCAGTAACTTGTAAGATAGCTTTTCCACTTCCCTAGCATATTCCTGCATTGTCTCCCTAATGAAAGAAAAAAAAAACATAATTTTCACTCAAGATATGTGATTATGATTATGATAAATAATCTTTTAATCATTTTGATAAGATAAGATTACCTGAAATGTGGAGGGTATAGTGGCCATTGGTTGGTGAGAGTCCTTAGCCCCGAGTCATTAGGTTCATGCGAAGAAGGAACTTGTGTTGTATTCTCAACAAGATAATCAAAGACCTCTTTCCAATCTCTTATGTTTTTGGTATGCTCAGCATCATGATACCCCATTGCATTAACTGCATCTCTTTTCACTTTCTTCTTCTCTTCAATGCTTTGCTCAAAAAACTTCTTCATCGCAATCTCAACCCTTTTGCTAACATCAGATGGAACTCCATGGTTGATTACTTGAAAGAATCCCCATTCTTCACATGCATTGCCAATCTTTGATATGAGGTTTTCTTGACTAGCTTCTGAGAGGTCAATGATTGGAATTTCATCAACTTGGACAAAAGTGGATAACTTTGGACGGTGTTCTGTGGATTGTATGAAAGCTGGATCAATGTCTCCCATGTTTTGAGTGTTTTGTTTCCTAGTATTTTCAGAAAACACTTTATAGCTATGCTATGAGTATGATAAATACAGTGAATGTGGACGTTTTTGTAATTGAATGATGAACATGCTGGGGAAAGCATGACAAGAACATTGTTAAAATTCTCATTTCTAGATTATACTTTCATTTTTCTTTTATTATAAAAATATATAATTTTTTAATTATATTAGATAATCAATGAATATAGATTATATATAGACCAGGTGAATTCATTAGTCCAAGTAAACTTTTTTATAATAATTATGAAAGAAAATATCTCCTTTTCTGAAATGATTTTTTAAGTATTAATTTTACATATATCTTTAAAGAGGAATAGATTGGATTTAAAGTGAAAAAATAAATGTATTTTGTTATAATATATGTCTGTCTTTGAGAAATACTACTAATAAATAATTAAAAAGTTCAATGCAAATGAAAAAAAAAAAAAATAGTATAGTTAGCGTAATTCTAGTTTTACTCTCCATATTTTATCCTATTTAAGAAACTAATTTTTTATTTAGTTTTGATAATGTTTTTACATTTTTAATAAAAATAATGACATGTCACTTACCTTAAAAATTATTTAGTATATTTTCTCTTATGCTTATCATAAATAAAATTATTACTTATAACTCTACATTTAATAATCAATGTATTTGACTTGCATATAATCTTCAATGATTATTTATTATTTATTATTTAATATACTGAAAAATAGTTTTTAATATAACAAGAACAAAATGAAGCAGTATTCTAGAAATGAAAATTATAATGGTGTTCTATTCATGTTTTCCCCACCATATTTTGTGGTTTAGGTTGCTCCATTAGTCCATTGTGTTAGGGGAATAAATTGGAGTATGATTAAAGTTGAAAATTATACATTCATATGGGAGACATATCAATTGTCTATTTAACACATTGCAGTTTGAGGCAGGTTTTTATTGACGTAGTCGGTTTGTAAATCTTAATTGGTAGTATTTCTTATGTCTGTTTTTCATTTATTTTAATTTTCTTTTTTGCTTTCAAGAAAAAATTGTGTTTTTATATATATATATATATATATATATATATATATATATATATATATATATATATATATATATATATATATATATATATATATATATATATATATATATATATATATATATATATATATATATATATATATATATATATATATATATATATATATACTCGGACCTGCATAGGAGCAGTAGGCTCTGCAGCATAAAGTCCTAAATTTCGAAGAGCCCAAAAATTTAAAAAGATCAGATCTTTTTCCATTAATGTTAATAAATATAAATGTGTTATAAGTAAATTTAATAAATCAAAAAATATTATAATAAAAAAATTAAAAAAATGAGATTCATTATAGTCAAAATAATTATAATAATTTTTTTAATTAATATATAATTAACTTTTTTATGTGTTATTTTTAATTATGATTGTATTTTTTTTTTAAAATTAAACTTATTTTTTAAATTAGAACGGGAGCTCCAATTTATTTGTTTAAAAGAAATATTATTTTAAAATGAAACATAGTTTAAAATAAGCATTATTTCAATGAAACATAATTTTAAATAAATATTTTTAAATGTTGAAAACCCATTTTATAAATAATGTAATAAAATGTTTTATTTGAATGTTGAAAACCCAATTTTAAATATTGGAATATTAAATTACATTTTAAATGATGTTTGAAAAAAATTATTGAAAAATAATGTTTATTTTAAATGATATTTTATTTTAAAATGAATCATTTTAAAATGTTATATAAGCCTCTGTTTCTTTTTAAATATTATTTTAGCATAAAATTCTTCAGTTAAAATAATGGATTATTAGAGTTATTTTTTCTATTATATCCTCATTTATTTTCTCTTTTTAAATAAATTCAATCATAAACTCTTTCTCTCTCTTTTTTCAAAAACTAATGAAAAAATAATTAATTTTTTAGAAAATGTAAAATAAAATTATTGAGAAAGTAAATATACAATTGACAAATTATAACATTAAACTATAAAAATAACACTTGACAATTAAATGAAAACAAAAAAATTCTTCTAAATCGACACTTAAAAAGAAACAGAAGAAGTATTTTTTTTTATGAGAAAAATGAAAATGCAGTAGAAATATAAAATATTTTTACACTATTAACTAATAAGAGATATGTATCACAATAAATCACATTTTTATTTTTAAAATATTAAAATGACATGACAAATATAAAAATTTTAATTGATTGCATAGATAAAATTGTTTTACCCTAAGAATGCACTATTTTTAAACTCTTTATATATAATTATATTGAAAATATATCTTGTTACTTTTTCAATAAAAAACAACCAATATAAAAAAAATACTTAATCCGCATATTCTTTTAAACTACAACAATTATCAATAATAATTCAATAAAATAAAAATTGCAAATATTTAATATATGATTCGATGGTTTGAGAAAATAAAAGGAAAAAAGGGACTACGTGAATCAATTTTACAGAACAAATCTGTCCCAGTTCAAACACTACTAAAGAGTGCATACCGCTCCATCATCAATATGAGCTAAGAATCTGCTCCAGCATAGTTGAGTGGTATCACTTTTAAAATTAAATCCAAAATTATTTACAAAATAGAAAGTTAGAAACATTGGTGTTCAAGCAGCATTCATTGAGGTTGAAAGGACAACGTGAGCTAAAAATTGCACCCCGTCCTGGATTTTACTGATTGCTGTGGTTTGATCAGCTCGAAGGTGTTCAGAGAAAGAATTGGCTTTTTCTTGAACTGATGTCTTGGGAACATCTGAGGGAGACTCAGCAGTAGCACCTTTAATGGCAGCTTGATAGGCCTCAGATACATCAGATATGCCTGATAAATAAATGCATTAAAAATGTCAAATGTCAACCCGCGGCTCACCCGTGATGGAAATATTCATAGAACATGATTATGACCATAGATGGAAGCAATAGAGAACCAACCTGTAATAAAGCTGTTGGAAACTGCTTCCAAATATCCAATCATTGTCTGGGTATTTATCCTTATGATCTTAGCTTTTGCAGAAATGTCTTCAGGCCACTCTACATTAGCGTCAACTTCAACCTCAGTTTTGTTGGCAAGAGAAATGATGGATTTGCCTAACGTATGAAGTTGTGACACCGCGAAACAGCACATTTCAGACAGTCTCTGCGAAGTAAAGCAACTCACTTTTACAAAAAATCATGCATGTTGATGTAAAGAAAGAGAATAAATTTATAATTAATAGAAAATAATATAGCCAAAATATTCTCTCGTACATGAACTCCCTCAGAATGAAGAGAGTCTATTCTTCCAGAAGTTCTCTGAATTATATCATTAACAGCTAGGCCAGCCAAGGCATTCGTGAAACTGAAAAATGAAATAAGATGTGTCACGTAATTGGGAAGAGGGCTTCTCAATCTATCAGGGTAAATGATCATCACACGTATATAATGACTATAGCTGCAGATAGGAACAGGATCAAAACAAACACATTCCTATGAGTGCAAGCACATTTTGTCCATGTTATCATCATGCATCCAATCCAACCCAACATTCAAATTTACTATATTATGCACATTTTTTAAACCCATAGTTTGACATCCTTGGAAAGAGAATTGTGATAACCAGCACCGCAGAAATGGGCCATTTTAACTCAAAAATATGGCAGCAATAGTGTGTGGATAAAAGTTGATAATTATGCATGGATGAGCTAAATTACCCTGCAGCCATTTCAGCAGCCTTGCCAACACTTGAATCGTGTAAATTCTTTATCTCATCACTGATCCCCCCATTCTCTCTCTCTATTGTTTTTCCTTTGTTAGAATCGGCACCAGCATCAATTTCTGTACTCAAATCAAAAATTTGTTGGACCTCTTTAAGCTTCCCTTCAAATAAAGACTTTTGCTCTGCAGATAGTTTTGTTTTTCTCCTGTTAAACAACAAGGCATAATGACTAGACAAAGCCTCCAGTTCCTGAGTATTCCATATGAAACAATTTGTTAACACCAAAAAAAACTAAAATACTGTGCAAATGCAAGGTGTAAGTGTTTGTTGGCAGCAATTTTAATAAAACAATACTTTGATGATATTTTGCTAAATGTCTTGATATTTGGAGCAAACTGTTTTGAATGATGTCAAAGCAGATGCCTTGACATCTGCCTCTTGATCTGAACGCAACTCACATCAGTTTAAGTTTTTTTGTTTCCTGTTTTCATTCAGGATTTGTGACTCATAGGCTGCGAAAAATATGAAAGAATATTTTTCTATTTGAATTATCCTTATGGATTATATTTTGGCCTATTTTCATAGAAATATTCAAAAGGTTGGAATATTTGTTTTTCAGCCCAAGTCCACTATTGCGCCTTTATAAGGATTTGCTTCCTTATTCATTCAACTGCAACTTTTGAAGAAGAATATTTTCTTTCTGTTTTAGAAGTCTAAGCCTTTTAATTTTCATACACTCTAGTATTGATTTAATACTTGAGATGTTATTTGAGTTGTTAATTGTGGATCATTCATAAGCTTTTAAGCATTGAATGATTGAAGTCTTTAAAACTAGTTATTTCAGTTGTTCTTCACTGTAAGTGATTGAAGGGATTTGAGGAGGGTCTTATACCTAGGTGTGTCTTAGGTAGAAGTATAGCACGGGTAGTGATTAAGTGATTAGATCGTAAACTGGTTGTTTACTGAGGGTCTATGAATTGATACTATTTATTATACTTGTCCCTGGCTTGGTAACCTCCAGAGTAGGTGTTGTTGTACACTGAACTGGGTTAACAATCCTTTGCGTTTTTACTGCTTTTATAATTGTTGCACTTTACACTGTCCTTAGATATTTATGTCGTGACATCTCCTTCGACATCACATATCTGATACCAGAATTACAATTGGTATCAGAGCAGACATCTTGCTCTATATCTGGGTGAAATCCAGGGAAGATACTTTCTGGTACAATGGACAAGGAAGG